AAATTTTTACCATATTACCATTTTTGAAAAACATGGTCTTATTTGTGAACTGCTGACCTCATACTGTGGATACTTCAACTGAGGGGTCGAGCGTGTGGGGCACAAGGTTGAGTTTGCATGTTATTAAATGTTATTGTTATTATAACATTAAAGAACTGAAATGTTCTTACAAGGATCTACATTACAAGACTTTAACAACAGTATTTTAGCACTTTGTTATTCCTAGAAGTTGCTTAAAATTTAATTAAGTTGCCCCAGAAATCAAAAGTTGCTTGAACCAAAGCAAAGGTTGCCAGAGATTGTTTTTTAAATTTGTTTACTTTTGTATTATGTTCTTGTTTTAACTTGTATTATCTTAACCACAGGACCAGGTGATTTGTAAAGGGTAATTTAGAGTGTACTCTAATTTACTCTTGACTCTATTAAAGCCAAAAGGTTGGTACCTCGTTGAAAGGTGTTCAAAGACATTTGCAAAGCCCTGACCAGTCAAATACCCTGCTATGGTTTGGCTGGGGGTGGGGTGGGAAAGGCTTACATTGACTGGTGTATCTAACAGTTCACTAACCACCCAATGCAACAGTGGCGAATTGCCCAATGCTAATTGTCTTGATGCATTTCCCTTGATTTTATTATTAAGGTTACTGCTACCAATCAGTCCAAATCTCATGATGCATGTGTGTGGGTTTCAGAGGTCAAGGATACATGTACCAAGCTTTGGTAGGACATTTTGCATTATTTACATGTATTTGTTGCAATCAGAATTCAGTTACTAATAAAAATGTTTAGCTGTATAATAAATAAAAATTTGGGCAATGTATGGCTCCAGAAAATAATTATTATAATCCATACCCCACCACAGAGGGAATTTCACTTAGGACCCCCCCACCTCCCTGGATTTTCCATATTTATAAGGAACTGGTGACCCCGGGCCACCCCTCCGGAATTTCCACAAAGTAAGACAAAGCCCCTCCAGCCCCTCTGGAAAAGTTTATTTTCATGAAAAAGGATTATCAAAGTAAAGAACAATTCCCCACTCCAGAAACTATGGGGAATCTGGGCACGAACTTGACTCGTAAGGTCTTGTGGGATTGTTTGGGTGGACACGCAAGACATTTAAAATGGCGGTAGCGAGGAAAGTTTTCCTCACAAAACACTGAAGAAAAATGGCAAAGCATGCTAATTGTTGTGTTCCTGGATGTACGAATAATTACAGAACCAAGCATGGGCTTTCGTATTACCGAATTCCAAAGGACAAAAAACTGCGAAGACAGTACAAGATTCTAATTCGTAATGCAACATTAAAACTCGACGCCGATAATACACGTATTTGTGGAGATCACTTTGAGGGTGGACATAAGCGCAGCAGGCTTCATTTACCGTCGATTTTTCCATGGTCTAAACATGCGTCAACTAGGCGTGTTTTAAAGCGTGTTTCTCCCGAAAAAATTGTCAATAAATCAAGGATATGTAAAAAAAATCGAAGACTTGCATCTCTTAACAAAGACCATTCCGAAAACACTTTACTGGAAAGTGATCTCTGTCAGACGGAGGATGTGCTGCTCACCAGTGATCAAGGTATGCAAACGGATTTTTATGAACAAGTACAAAACAAAGATGAATCTTTGCAAACTGAATGTTATGAAACGGTAAAAGTAAATTTTGGCACCCAAACGGAATTGCTTAGATTTGACATTAATCAGTTCAAAGATAAGGACTCAGACATTGCTTTTTACACTGGATTTCCCAATTATAAAACACTAATGTTTTGCTTTGATATGGTGAAGGATGCAGCGAAAAACATAAGCTATGGAAACTATGATCGAAAATGTTTTGATTGCCCCCCAGTTTGGCAACCAGGTCGACCAAGAATTCTTACAACCTTTCAGGAGTTTGTTCTTGTGTTGATGCGACTAAGGTTTGGCCTGTTTGAAAGAGATTTGGCTCACAGATTTGAAATTTCCGAGTCAACAGTTTCTGTAATATTTAGAACATGGATTCGATTTTTATGCCTTGAACTTCAGGAACTTATTATCACTCCACCACGAGATGTTCTTCAGGAACACATGCCTAAACTTTTCAAGGAATTTTATCCCAAGACAGCATTGATTATTGACTGCACTGAAATACAAATGGAGCGTCCATCTGCATTGGATAATCAGTCCTCCTGTTACTCTTCGTACAAATCTAGAACAACCATGAAAAGCTTAGTGGGAATTACCCCAAGTGGTGTCATTGGATTTACCAGTGAATTATACCCTGGTAGTATTACTGACAAAGAAATTACAGTAAAGAGTGGTTTCCTAGCTTTGTTGGAGCAAGATGATGAAATTATGGCTGATAAAGGCTTTCTCATTCAAGATGAGCTTGCTGCAGTTGGTGCAACCCTCATAATACCTGCCTTTTTAAAAGGAAAACAGCAGTTTTCTAAAGAAGAAGGAGAAAAAAACAAGAAAGTAGCAAGTTTGAGAGTTCACGTCGAAAGATGTATGGAGCGAATAAAGAATTGGCATATTTTAGATAAACCTATTCCAGTTTCCCTCGCAGAAATAGCTTCAGACATTTTTATCGTTATTGCAGCACTCACAAATTTCCACCCTCCACTTATTTCATAAAAAAGAAAAATTGTAATATTGAATTGTTATGCATTTCGTTATCTGAAGAATAGTGAAATGTAAACAAAGTAAACTTTTGCTCCTTTAAACAAATTTTCTTTGTTTATTTTGTTTGTGTCTTCATAAAACATGAATATATGATACCAAACCATTAATGTCATGTTACAGGTTATATTTGATTGCAGGTTAAACCTTTTTGTCTGTAGGCACTAATAAATAATTAGGGCTATGAGACAAAAGAGGTGAAATAACTAAGGTTGGAAAAAGTTTAACATGAAATCAAGTTTAACCAGCTACAAACTGTAAAAATACTTGCTTGAATTCTTGAAAAGAAAACACTGACATACTCCTCAGAATGTTGGAAGCTGCATTAAAATTCTGGACTTACATTTCAATGGTCTTAGGGCATGTATGATCCTGCCTTCAGAGCTCATTCACTTCTTTTTACAGACCTTTTGCAGGTTCTTTAAATGGGAAAAGACATTTATCAAAGACGTTTCTATACATTTACAACATATCTAATCTGGGTAAACCATATTTAATCCTTGGGTATGCAAGTTCAGGTAGCATGTGTTTTTCAAAGAATTGGTTCAGTTTGAGAAGCACTGGGCCCCAGAAAGTTGGATCAAATTGTACTCTTTTGATGAAGAGCTCAGTTGACAATGACCCTTTCACCACAAAATCATTCCAATATCGACCTGCAACATACATTTGATGCTGCACTTGGTAAAAGTACTGGTGACGGCGATTTACAGTTAGTTCCTCATTGTCATACACACAAATTCTCTTCCTTAGCAATGCCTCCATCAGTGTTTCGTCCTCTTTCATTTGAATATACTTCATTTCTAACATTCCCTCGGTTGGTTCGTGTGAGGGGTCCTTTACCAAACCATCTGGACTAGCTGCCAGAAAACCATGTAAGGTACTTACAATAAGTCCTGATCTCTCTACTTTTATTCTTTTGTGTCCCTTTTCATTCATAGTATTTAAAAATTCTTGTATAATTTCTGGTTCTTTAGAAAGACCCTCCTTCATTTCCTTAGTTTGAGCAAACTGTTTGTACCCTAGAACCTCTTCTATTGCTTTTGTTGGGGATGTGGTATCCTTAAAGGGGCTATGTCAGCTGGAGAGCATGCGCTCTGAGGTTATACAAATTACTTTCAACTGTCAAAATTCTATTGTTTTTAACGCGTGACTTTCTCCATGTGCGCTCTGAGGTTATGCAAATTACTTTCAACTGTCAAAATTCTATTGTTTTTAACGCGTGACTTTCTTCATGTTCTCTGTCACGTCCAAGGTTCCGAATTTAGAGAGGTTAACAAGCGAAATGGGTTTGGATAAGGGATATTTCGATAGAATTTATGGAACGTTTCTTCTCTGGTTATGCTAAATCAAGAATAAAATTGTGACGACAATTTTACTTGTAGTTTTGAAGTAAAAACGCATGCCATTCATAAAATAGAGCGCAAACAAAAATTCAACAACAACATATTGTCTTATTCAACAAAATAAATGGAAGTTGTATTTTACAAATGAGCTACAAAAGACGCTAGACCGAAGATAAAGACCAAGACTGTTTCAAATCATTAACAATTAGACTTGTCTGTCGCTACTGACTTTATAATTTAGATGCTGATAGAACAAGAGACCAAGTCTTTGTTTTGATCTTAGGGAAACATACATTATCGCGCAAAATTGTTCGATCATGCCAAATCACTGCGACGTCGAGAGAAACAGAACCCAGCATCATTGGTATACTACTCCACTATAAGCAGTCCGTTGATAAAAAGGGAAAGTAAAATCTGCTATTTTCCAAAATTATGCTCGAACACAAACAGTTCAAAAACATGGCATTTACAGGATCTAACTCGTACTAAGGTGCCTCTCTAAGTCCGTTGAGAACAATCTGGACGAGCAAACGGTCGTGTTTATCTTTGCCGTGAATCGAGATAAATACAAGAAGGAATCTAGCCGAATTTTAGAATGTTTCCTTCGCCAGGAGTTTAGTTTCGTCACGAAACTCATGGCCTGATGCTCTTGTAATCGTTTACAAAAAACGGCTGCCGCCAACTCGATAGCCACTTCATTATATGTCCACATACCTTGAGCACAAGAAAAATCCAAGAGCCAGCAGCCTCTAAAATAACTCAATAGAAAGGTCCTGTGAACTACAGGGAAGATTCCATCAAAGATTCCATCACTCATTGTGAAGTAGCTGTCATTAACTCTGCCATTACAACGGCCGCTGATAAGAGGACACAGTAAATCCACGTAAAAACATTCCACAGGCAAACAATTTTAAAATAACGCCAAAAAATTGTTCTGTAATCACCGTAGAACGATTCTTAATACAAAACTTCGCTAACTATCGAACGATGGCTGAGATTTAGACAGATAAAAACAGCCCTCCAAAATCTCCGACACAACTTGAAAAAGTTGGGCCGTCTTTTTCAAGTTTGTTTTCATTGGCTCGCGCATGCGTGTTGGGTGACATAGCCCCTTTAAGTACAGCACATCTGTAACACTTTGATGATGTGATTCTTTGGTTCCGACTGTCATGCTAAAGAGGGTCTGCTGACTGGCCTCGAGTGTTTTTTTCTACCTCTGCTGCTTCTTCCTCATTGAGAAATAATTTCCGCTTGACGTTTTGGCATTCATTTTGCAGCATATCCATTGAAAAAGGATGACTGTTTAATTCAGGAACTTCCGTTTGACTTGAAGCTAAGCTTTCAGGGGCTGATTCTTTGTGAACAGACTCACCAGTGCTTTCTCTATCTTGAACTGTGCTATCTACTCTACAATAGCTATGTTCTTTGCCAATTATTTCTTTTAAATTGTTACTTGTCTTTAGAGGTAAAATATGACTAAGACCTATAGTTTGCCCGTTTCCTCTTGAACACAGAGAACAGAAGTCAACACATTATATCGTCTGGTGTTGGACCATTCCCTTGATGGGGGGGGCTCTCACGTCCTTATCGCGCTTAACTTCAGATTCTCGGTCTTTCTTTTCTTTCCCATGTTCATGCTTCTTAAATTTCATTTGGCTTATGGGCAGTACCTCTCCTTTCCTTTTACGGGGAACATTCCAAGTGCAAGGTTGGGACGTTCGAGAGGTCTGTTCTTGCTGCTGCTTTTCACGTTGCTTGCAGAATTCCTCAAGTCCAAACAAGGTTGCCGCGATATGATTACATCGACCGTCAACACCTGCTGGGCAACCACAGTACGCGCTTTTTATGTGGCCATTTGGTAAGAGCAAGATGAAACAGTTATAGACGCTTGATTTTTTCATTGAGGGTAAAACTTGACTCTTTAAGTACCACTTATTTTCTCGAGAACAGACGGTCACTTTTACTAAGTTACCGGACTTAAAAAAGTTAAAGCCTTTGACCAGTGGTTTAGCTGTGGATAGCTGCTTTTTTGCATTGGAGAACTCGATCATGTACTTCCATACAGTGCCAAAATTTACAAAAGGCAAATCAGTAAGATCTTCATGGAAACCATCCTTAGGGAAAATATCAGTAACATGTGGAGGGTCTACTTCATCCATTACACCTAGTAAGACTTTCTTTCGTGCAAGATGCACACCTCCATCCGGATCTCGTAAGTTTTTTAAATGAAGGCCTGCCTTGACATAGTCTTTATATCTAAAATAAACAGTAAAGCAAACCATGTCTTAGTATATATTTACGCTGGACAGTTCAAAATAACAAACCCTGATAAATGATCAATAATAAACCATCGTCTGAGCAGACCTCTTGACAAGATCGGCTTTCTTGCCGCTTGTTTTTGCTCCTCTACACAACAGCCATCGTCGAAGCTGTGGTACAGTACACTCTTCAACGTTTTCCCGAGGAAGCTTCGCTTCGGGAATGTCTTCTTCACATAGAACAACTTTTTTGGAACAGCTGGCTTTCTGTGCCGCCATTTTGAAGTTTCGCGCGTCCACCCAAACGATCCCAGAAGACCTTACGAGTCAAGTTCGTGCCCAGATTCCCCATAGTTTCTGGAGTGGGGAATGCCGTTTGCGGTTATGCAATGGTTAATTATTGCTTATCCCTTTAAATGAAAGAGAAAGCTGTATCTGTCAGTTACATATGTTTACCTTGATGGAATTAACGCCATTTCAGCGTGAGTACGATCACGAACATGTCAAACTTTCAACCACAAAATAAGGGGAAACGAAAAGGAGAATAAAAACTCTAGATTTTGAAGTTGTTACATCGTATACCTCCTGCTTCTCGAAGTGAAACTTTCACTCTTGTACTGTTTTTCGATCGACTGACATGACGCGGAGATTAAAGAAACGTAGCTAGGGAAGAGTGAGCTTGTGTAACCACATCTGTTATGCATTGATGTCTTTACGGAGACTAGTAACCAGTAATGGCGGTCAATACTATGCACGCCAGAAGTCGAGTTTTTGTCAGCTTAACAAGGGCCTAATTCCTTTGGATGCGCATTCGTAAGGATTTTGGAAGAAAGAAAACCGGGTATAGATGAAAAAACAATAGTCAAACTTATTTATGTCTTCAAACATGATCTACTAGATGACTAAGTAATTAATTCAGTTGGTTGATCAAATGGAACGGTCCATTTCGGTTTGGTCTGACCGGAATATTCGTGACCAGCTTTGACTGTGGTTCGCTTTGACTGGTCTGGTCATTTTGGCCGGTTGAACCGAAATGTCCCTCTCGATTTGACAAAATTGTTGTCCCTATTATCGCTCTTTTGTATCCTGCTTACAAGAACAATAACATGCTGTACTGGCTTGGGTTGGATCTGTGCAACCGGAATGTACTGTTCCATTGGGCATGTGTAATTAACAAAATTTAAAACTGGAATTTTTTTTTTAAGGGAATTAAGCACCCCAGGACTAGTCCCCTTTCCCACCTTGAACATCAACATACATCCTGGGATAAATGCTGCATGTAATGAAAATATGGTAAACAAGAATTGTCAATTTTAACTGGGCAGCCAATTTTCCTGGTGGAGGAGGTGGCTGCACACTTAGGCCATCAGGCATGTTGCTTACCAGTGTGTGACTTAGCATCTCATGTGAGAGTGTTATTTGTGTTATGTCGGTTCTGTATGCTACCTTTTCAAATTCCACCATTATGAATAAAAGTAAGCAAATGAGCCATTCTAAGCAGGAAACAATAAGCGTTACTATCACGCACCCCTCCCCCAATTGACCACTCCAGAAATACCATAACATACCATAATGTTCTTTGTTTGTCACCCCAAAATTTTGCATAAGCATTGTTTTCAGATTCTCTTGGGGCCATTTTAACTCCCAAGAGAAACTGAAGACAATGCTTATGCAAAACTTTGGGGCGACAATCAAAAAGCATTATGGTATGTTATGGTATTTTCTGGAGTGGCCAATTCCTCTGCTCCCCAAAATATAGTGTGACAAATTTGACCTAACCAGAAATTCCAAAATTATTGTCGTGACGAGTCAAAAGGCTGTTGATAACAAGCAGTACATGTCTCGATTCTGGTTCTTAAAACTAACAAAGCAAATTAAATTTAAGTTTTGTTTTGTCTGATATTGCATTATACAGCCTTTCTAACTGTCCTAGTGAATATATATAATATATTTTTTGAGGTGGTGATCTACAATGAGGACATTGACCCCAACACATTCCTTTGTCCGTTTTATCCCAGGGGAGGAACTCTCTTACATTAACCTTATAGATATTGCCCTAAAATAGTGTAAAGATTAGATGAGGCAGGCGGTGCACCCCCACTGCGACTTCCCAGAAATATCTCTCCCCACTCCCCAAGGAAAAAATGAAACCCATTTCTTAAACTGGGCTTGCAACAGGCTGCCCAGTTAACAAGAAAAATATTAGCATTGCAATGCTACGTCTTCTAAAGTAATTAACAAATGCTGAGACTAGATGAACATGTGGTCGGTGCTTAACATCTGCAGTGTCTTGAGTTGACAAAGTGCTAATTGTCTGGAAAAAATGTAGTAGACTGTTAATGTAATATAATAATTATTTTTAAGAGAGGGACCATTAGAAAAGTTATGAGGGGGGTGGGGTTGGCAAAGTGCATACAGGAAAAGTTGTGCAAGAGAAAAATTAAGAAAAAAAAAACATACATGTTATGTGGAGTAATAACCCAAAAAACATATTCATGCACTGGCCAAAAAAATAATTCATGCTACATGTAGGTATACACACGTAAATGTTTAGGAAAAAAACTCATGCCAATCTCATTGCCAGTGTTTTCTCTGTTGCTTTGAGGAAGAACCCTGGTTACAGCTGGTCATGTGACTACCTGTGACAATGGACTCCTCACCAGGGTAGGCTCGGGCTAATGAATTAACTCAAGGCAACTGAATGATGAGCTAAAACTTGAGGCAGTAATATGTTTTCAGTCAAACGCTATTTCCTTTGGAAAGGTAAATTTTGAAGAGTGAGGTTTGTTTATTATTGTTCTTTCAAAAAAAATTTTGTGAGGATCGCTCTGAAAATATTGAATTTGACCCATCAGGAGCCCTGCTTGATTTTCAACTTGTTTTGTGCAGTGTAAATAAGTAGGCACTCGCTTGACAACACACACATAGTTTACTTCATAGAGTAGTATTTTAACGACCAGTAATTACAAATAGTACTCTTCATTACGCTGTCAAGAAGTGCTTTGATGGCATACATCACACAGATGAAAATAATATTTCCCACCTCCTCCATGCATGACTTTTCTAATGGTCCATCCCTAATGCAAAGCTGCTCCAGAGTGCCATGTATCACTTCACAATGTATCTACAGGTGTATAACTTATGGTACTGTACCTTGTGTCACTTTACAAAAGTATGCTCATCTTGTACTGTGAGTACATATACAAGATATAATTGTGAATTGGAGATCTGTACGGGCATTTACTAATGATCCACTGCCCATACAGATCAGACAGGAGGGTGTTACGAAAACTAAGACCCTCGAAAACTAAGACCTAAGACCTAAGACCCGTCTTAGTTTTCGAGATTACGAAAACTAAGACCCCCTAAAACGAATCCGTCGAAATATGAAGTCAAATTGTAATGGAAATAGGTCTAATCTGTCAGATTATCTTCTGTCCGATTCTTTCCACAGAGTTTTAGGTTGAATTCAACGATAAATTTAGGGGTCTTAGTTTTCATAATTTCGAAAACAAAGACCCCTCTTAGTTTTCGTTATTATGAAAACTAAGACCCCCCAAAAAACCAATCCGTAAAATAAATATGACGTCGAATTATGACCGTTCAAAGACTATAATCAGTAAGAAAACAGAGGATGAAAAGCCGTTACCTGTGTATAATTGTACACTGAAAGTATGCCTACCCCGCCGATTGGTCCTTAATTTTAGTTGTTTATCCTTAAAAATCGTAAAATTGGCTTTCCACTGGAGATGGATTTTTGCCTTCGATGCCAGCTGACATGTTGCTGCTGACGGTGTTACCTGAATATATCATAATTGCTTCCGGTCGTCAAGTGGTCAATACTCACACAAAAATGCTATTTTTTTTCCTTTTCTGGCCAGGCCATAGCCAGAAAAATGCTTACTTAAAAAATCAAAGGGCAAACAAAAGAGTATATACTACATTCCGTTTTTTTTAACAGTTTATTTTTATCGTTCCCACCCCGGAGATCACCGGAAACAAGGTGAAAAGTTACAATGTAAGGGGTAGTTGAGGGGTAGGTTGGGGGCAAGGAGAAATTGTCTGTGAGGGACACCGGCTAAAATCACTCATTTAATAAACAATGAATGAATGAATAAATTTCCTAAACTAGCAAGGCATCATCTCGAAAATTTTGCGTTTTAATTTCAGAAAAAATATAATAAACAAACAATCAAAACAAAACACTCCTTCAGTGATTTTTTAGGTAACGCAATCACGGTCGCAGAGTCGGTCCCGCAGAGACGCAAAGGCAAAAATCCATCTCCAGCATGTGGAAAGCCAATTTTACAATTTTTAAGGATAGACAACCAACATTATAGACAAATTGGCGGGGTAAGGCATATTTTCAGTGTGCAATTAAGGCTTTTCTTCCTCTTTGTAAAGCCTCAATACTGATATGTCTGCAAATTTTAGAAGAAGCGGATCGTCATCCCTAGGGGGGTACTCGGGATGATCGAAGGATTTTTTGGGTTTGAAATTTTCGATTCCGGGATATTTTTGGATACGAAAATTTGGCAAGTATTTTTTTGGGTAGGTTGATTTGAGTAGGGATTTTTTGGGGGTATTAAAAAGAATCGGTAGTGCCCTGGCTGTGTAGTTCTGCAAATAAAGTACCAACAAAATAATGTGTTTTGCTGTTGTTTAATAGTTAACTATGGTGTCGCTTTACATCACACTCCTGGAACTTTTAAGGGCCACAAAATTGGCATGGGATTTTTTGGGGGTTAATTTTTGGTCCAGGGATCTTTTTGGGTTTTGCTGGAAGCCCTAGAGATTTTTTGGGGTCTTGACTTTTGGCTCCATTCGATCATCCCCATCACTTGAAATCCAGAGTACCCCCCCCCCCCGGGTCATCAGCACGCGGATGATAGTTTTTGGTTGTTTTACGGCCTATAGTCTTTGAACGGTCGTAATTCAGCTTCATATATATATATTATGGATCGGTTTTTAAGGGGACATAGTTTTCGTAATAACGAAAACTAAGAGGGGGGGGGGGTCTTTGTTTTTGAAATAACGAAAACTAAGACCCCTAAATCTACTGTCAAATTTGACCAAAAAGTTGGTGGAAAGAGTCGCACAGAAGATAATTTGACAGATTAGACCTATTTCGATTACAATTTGACATCATATTTCACCGGATTCGATTTTAGGGGGTCTTAGTTTTCGTAATCTCGAAAACTAAGACGGGTCTTAGGTCTTAGGTCTTAGTTTTCGAGGGTCTTAGTTTTCGTAACAGCCTCGGACAGGAATGTTTCATTGAAATATAAGTTTCAAGGAGGGTTGTTCATACAATAAGGATCCAATACCAGCTAAGAATTAAAGGTCCCCAAAACAAAGTGCATTAAGACCCTTGGGCACAGGACCTTTGCATGTGTTGGCCCGGCCTCAGTGTGGAAGACTCATCCTTCATCTATCAGGAGTATCCAGCAGGCGCTTTTGTTGGGCACCAATTCGTGTACAGTGACTGCCGTGTTTTTATTTTCATTTTCTCTAAGTGTACTGTTTGTTATGTGTTAGTGTTTGTCAGCTTTAATTTATTAGTGCTTTAAATATGTACATTTATATAGAGTTTTATGGCTATGATATTATTATTATTGTTATCATTATCATTATTATTATTATTACTAATTATCTTTTGGATGCCTGTATTTTGTGTTTTAATATTACAGTTTCTCAGAGATTCCAACCCTGTCAACTTAAAAAGGGAGGTTTAAGGACCGGCACAGCTGCTCCCACGAGCGACGACGGCCAGGCCTATAGCTCCCCATGAAAAATTTTAAGTTATGTGCCTCTAAGACATTTTGAGACCACAAATAAATGCAAACTTTGAACAAAGTCAAAGCAATCCATTGTATTACTGCATCCAAAATTATTGAAGGTTCACGTTCGGATCCCATAAGGGTAAAAATGGCTGAGAAACCCCAGAAAAACATCAAAGAATCGTGCTTAAATTAAGAGTGGTGAAACAAAGAAAGGAAGAGTTTTAAGAGCCGAGAGAATTTTTAGCAAAAATGGGAGGCCGGAAGTAATAATTATTATTTGCCAAAAATGGGGGGTTTCCAGTCAAAATGGGAGGGTTGGAATCTCTGGTGTCTATTACCAAGAACTGTATAAGTCAATTTCCAGTGGGAAAATCCAGACTGTGCTAATTTCAAAAGGTCATGCCAATAAAATATCAAAAGTTGTCATTCTACACAAAAAAAGTGTTGAATAGCAGAAGATAACATTTCACCACTATTGAAGTAATACATTACTTACGTTTTCTGTTCCTCTTGTAGAATCAGCATTAAAGGATTTTTAGGATTCCTGTGATGTCCAGGCCAATGGAGGTAAGTCAGAAAATTGATCATCTGTTAGTTGTTGATAGTGTTTGTCTTGTGAAGACATATTTTTTGGTACAGTGTATCTTCAATCTCAAGTTGTAAGATTTGAGGTTGAGAAATTTTTCTTAATGTTGGAGGAGAGATGGTGATCATGTCAGACTATGGTTATGGGGGTGGGGTTGGATTTAAGCCCTCACTGTTCCATCACTTGTTTTTCTTTGACCAGAAACTTTTTTTTTTACAATGTACATTGCCCCCCCACCCCTAGACACTTTCACACACTGTAGGTCTTAAAATTTTTGTTAAGTGCTTACATACCAGTGGGCAATGCTGTGATGGACTAGCATTCCATCCATGGAGGGGCGGTAGGGTGGTGGGTGGAGTTGTAATATTCACTTCATAGTGCTTCCAACCAAGATAAGCTCTCACTGTGCAGGCCCTCTGACTTTTCTAAAATACCTCTCCCATCCATTGGGGGGTGGGTTGAAATGTAATATTCACCCCATGGTGCTTTCAACCAAGATGAGCTCTCACTGTGCAGGCCCTCAGGCTTGTTTTAAGTACCTCTACCATCCATTCGGGGATGGGGTGGAGTTGTAATATTCACTCTGTGGTGCTTTCAACCAAGATAAACTCTCACTGTGCAGGCCTTCTGGCTTGTTTTGAGTACCTCTAACATCCATGGGGTGGGGGGTGAAGTTGCCATATTCACTCCATGTGTGCTCCATGGTGCTTCCAACCAAGATAAGCTCTCACTGTGCAGGCCCTCTGGCTTGTTTTAAATACCTTTACCATCCATGGGGGGATGGGGTGGAGTTGTAATATTCACTCTGTGGTGCTTTCAACCAAGATAAACTCTCACTGTGCAGGCCCTCTGGCTTGTTTTGAGTACCTCTACCATCCATGGGGGGATGAGGTGGAGTTGTAACATTCACTCCATGTGTGCTCCATGGTGCTTCCAACCAAGATAAGCTCTCACTGTGCAGGCCCTCTGGCTTGTTTTAAATACCTTTACCATCCATGGGGGGATGGGGTGGAGTTGATATATTCACTCTGTGGTGCTTTCAACCAAGATAAACTCTCACTGTGCAGGCCCTCTGGCTTGTTTTGAGTACCTCTACCATCCATGGGGGGATGAGGTGGAGTTGTAACATTCACTCCATGTGTGCTCCATAGTGCTTCCAACCAAGATAAGCTCTCACTGTGCAGGCCCTCTGGCTTGTTTTAAATACCTTTACCATCCATGGGTGGAGGGGGTGGAGTTGTAATATTCACTCTTTGATGCTCCATGGTGCTTCCAATCAAGATAAGGTCTCACTGTGCAGGCCCTCTTGCTTGTTTTAAATACCTTTACCATCCATGGAGGGGGGAGGTTGAGTTGTGATATTCACTCTTTGGTGCTCCATGGTGCTTCCAACCAAGATAAGCTCTCACTGTGCAGGCCCTCTGGCTTGTTTTAAGTACTTCTACCATCCATGGGGGGACGGGGTGGAGTTGTAACATTCACCCCATTTGTGCTCCATGGTGCTTCCAACCAAGATAAGCTCTCACTGTGCAGGCCCTCTGGCTTGTTTTAAGTACCTCTCCCATCCATGAGGGGAGGGGGTGGAGTTGTAGTATTCACTCGATGGTGCTTCCAACCAGGATAAGCTCTCGCTGTGCAGTCCCTCTTGCTTGTTTTAAATACCTCTCCCATCCATGGGGGGAGGGGGCGGAGTTGTAAAATTCACTCCATTGGGCTTTATGGTGCTTCCAACCAAGATAAGCTCTCACTGTGCAGGCCCTCTGGCTTGTTTTAAGGGCCTCTTCCATTCATGGGGGGAGGGAGTGGAGTTGTAATATTCACCCCTTGGTGCTTCATGCTTTCCCTATCAAGATACTGTAATCTCTTGCTATGCAGACCCTCTGGCTTGTTTTAAGTACAGTGTACCTCTTTTGGAATGTTGAGTTAGTGAACCACTAAGCTTGCTGATCCCTCCAGTCTCAAGAAATTAAATGGATAATTAATCTGTCAATGATCCTCACCTCTCAGTGTGGTACTCAGTCTAAATAATTGCAACAGAGTAAGTACAGTTTCTTATCTCAGCCAAATTTACCCAAAAGACAATGCTTGAGTCTCCTAACTTACAGTTTGTTTGAACTTAGTAATGCATCTTTTAAGGAAATCCATAAGTAAATTAATGTTGCTCTTCTTTTAGGATTTGTCATCCTTTCCTAGCACAGCCTCTACATCACAGGAAGACCATGAAAGCAATTCAGAATCCACTTCCTCCAGGAAATTGAGAGTTACTCTGTTAAGCAGTGAGTGGAGATCAACAAAAGGAGGCTTGTCAACCATCAACCGAGAGCTGGCCATTCAGTTGGCAAAACACCCCATCGTGGAGGTCAGCGTTTATCTTCCACAGTGTAGTGAAGAGGATAAACAACTTGCTAGAGATCACAATGTCCGCCTTATTAAAGCAAGAGAAATGCCAGGTTTAGAACCAAATTTCTGGTTGTCTTGTTTGCCAGAAGGCCATGCCGTGGACTGTGTGATAGGGCATGGGGCTGTTCTTGGTCGGCAAGTGCAGATTATAAAACGGCATCATCACTGTAAGTGGATTCAGGTCGTTCATACCTCCCCAGAAGAACTTGGGATGTACAAAGAATATGAAGAACACATTTTTAGGGGTGAGGAGAAACACCAGGTTGAGGTTGAACTTTGTAAATTAGCTGATCAAGTTGTAGCTGTTGGACCCAAGCTGGCTGATGCTTTTTCAGGTTATCTCCGTCCTTGTGGAAAAGATAAAGATGTTCTCAATCTTACCCCAGGCATTTTCTCTGAGTTTGTTGATGTCAATCAATCTAACGAGGAAAGAAACTCATTCAATGTTTTGGTCTTTGGACGTGGTGACAGTGAAGATTTCCAGATAAAAGGATATGACATCGCTGCCCAAGCCATTGCTGAGTTGAAAGACACGACCTATAAACTTGTGTTTGTTGGAGCAACACGGGGAGAAGAAGATAACGTAGCAAAAACGTTAGTCCAGCAAGGCATTGCACCTAGTCAACTGAGGGTGCGTCGCTTTAATGAAAGTAGGAGGAAACTAGCTGACTTGTTTTGTGAAGTAGATCTTGCTATAATGCCATCACGAACTGAGGGATTTGGTCTTGCTGCGCTTGAGGCTTTATCTGCTGGACTGCCCGTGTTGGTCAGTGGGAACTCTGGTCTTGCGGAAGCTTTAAAGAAAGTTCCTCATGGTGCAAGCTGTGTGGTAACGTCAGACGATCCAAAAGACTGGGCTAGTGCAATAAGAGCCGTCCGTCACAAAGACAGGGAGATGCGACTGGGGGAGTTTGATTTTGTACGTGGTGCATATGCAAAAAAGTACAGCTGGAAGGAACAGTGTGATAAACTTGTTGAAAGGATGAAAGTGATCTCTTCAGAAGGTCAGTTAAAATAAGTACTGTTGTAGTGCGTCTTCTGTTGCATATATATTAGACTTAAAATGAAATGTACGCTAGCCCGCAAATAAAGCCAGATCTTCCATCACTCCCTGCCACCGGCAATGTTTGCGGAAGAGAATGCTGTCTGAGAGGCGGCTGTATTCGCTGGCCAAATGTACATGTATACATAATACTTATGATTTAAATTGCATTTACAAAGTAAAAACATGCCGTACACTCATTAAACTTGAAAGCCTTCTTAATACATGCTCATTTAGAAGCAGACCTTATCACAAACAACTGCGCCTACGTTTTTGGCACAAAAAGCTGTGTTATTAGAACGATAACTAAACGAGAATATTTCGATAGAGTTCGGCTGGAAGTAAAACGCTGTCTGAAACATTGATCACAAGTTAAGGTGCACTGTACACGTGCATTCCCCAGGTGAAAACAAAAACAGGTAAGGTGGCAAATCTCTGACTGGCAAAAATAATTTGATCAACACGAAACTGATTTCATTTCAGACTCATCAAAGAGACTTCAATCTTTGGACAAAGGTAAAAGGCCATTATCCCCAAGTGAAACGCCAGCTTCAAAACAACCGAGACTATTCAGATATGCAGGTAAACCATAGGTTATATTGTGTTGCTGTAATACCTCATTCATTAGAGCATTCAGTCTATACATGTAGTGTAGTGCTGTCTTGATTTATATCATTTCGTTTGGGTATGAGAGGGCTTGTTCAAGTGTCATACATAAAATCAGGCTTCGTTATTCAGTTTGTGGGGCTTTTTATTACTATAATTCTTTGCTATGTACGGCAGCATAGCGGAACAGTGTACCATGGATATTAATGACATTTGGGAGCTTTTATTGCCTACAGAAAGTTTCTAAACGAAAGTTGCTCGAGGGGCCTTAGCTAACTGTAAACCCGCCAAGAGCTACAACTAAATAAAAACCAAACAGAACAAACGGATAAATTTGACCAGACTTTTCGTTCACCCGAAACCATTCAATATTTTCGCCCTGTTCACACAGAACTGACGAACCAGGTTGAATGTTAACTTTTGTCAGGGGTTTTACCATCTGCTCATGCGCAGAGAACTCCTATAGCAAACCCTTCACCGGTTCTTCACCGGCGAAAAATGTCTGATTGGTCGATGCGCGACCACGTGACATTGCCAAATTCAAAATGGCGGCAATACCTCCATCGTTTGTTTATTCCAGTGAAAAGAAGATTAATTGCGGCTTAATATGAGTTGCAAATGCATACACACAGATTTGTTTAGCATAGCCTAGACTTTTTATTATTCTTTTCACCTATTCCTATGGGATTCGTTCCCTGCGATGCTCGCGTTTTGACCGTTTTACCAGATTCAACTTTGGACTTGTTTAAGCGATCACTCTTCACGATCACGAAGGACAACAATATTTCTGAAAAAAGCCTGGTCACTAGAAAAAACGGCCTTTGTTCACAGCTCAGTGCACCGGAGAAATAAGACACTATGGGTCCTTTGAAATTTCTCAGAGACCTGGAAGTTACTTCATTATTTTTTGCAGAAAAGATAAACCAAAATTATGTTTTCTACAGCCAGTCTTTCTAATTTATAAAAAAAAGCTTGAATATGAGCTAAATGAACTTTAGTGTCTGCATTCATGTTCTTTTCATTTTGAACAGGTGCAATTTTAATATCAAAACTTTAAAGCCGTCTATGACCGAGCAGGTTTTTTTTTTCTTTTTTCCTTTTAATGGTTACTGTGCTTGATCTGAATAAGATAATGAAATTTTTAAAATTAGGGGAATACTATACATAAAAGAAAAGAACTTTGATTGCAAATATGTTAGTTGGAAAAAATACTGATTATATCTTTTTAGTATATAGGTTAGAAAAGTGATACGTAGTAAAAAGTGCTACAAAGGAGTAAACACCCAGATCTTTCCATTAATAAATTTTATTGATATTGTCAGGGACATATGCTTTCCTAGAGTACACATTTGTTCGTCAAAAATCTTGTTGTGAGGCTGCACTTTGTTTGATTCAGGATCAATCAATCGTTTCTGAAGAGAAATAAAGAAATTAAGCATGTTAACATGTCAGATACTTTAACAATACCTTAGCCAACAACTAAGAAGAAACTGAACTTCATATAAAAAAAAAAAAAACACTGAAAACTACTTCACCATGAAACAACAACCCCTTCAAATATATATCACATTAAATTCATGCAAAATGTAGACCTGATGATAAGTTTATAGGAATAGAAACAAACTATAATTACAATGAAACTATGAAGTTTGAATGAGATCTGTATTTGAGCGTTCTCTCATAATTCTGACAGATTATCAAAATTGGAAACTGTGTATCCTACACAACTGTATTCATCAACATGATCCAACTAACATTTCATTAAGACTCAAAGTTTACTCCAAAATTTAAACTCCTGTAAGTTTAATTGGTGATGATTATTTTTTTTCTTGGAAAGAACTTTTGAATAATTAATAGCATGTTAACTCTATCATTCACCCATAACTTTGCTCCAGAAAAATAAGCCAAAAACGATGGACAGAAAAACAAAAGCATTCACAGGAAAATTACCCTGTTCATCTCCTTCCAGAATCCAGTTTTCAAGCAAAGAAGCACCCCACACAGAAAGTGTTGTGTGCAAAAATTTAGTACGAAAAAATTGTACACAGGGGAAAAAATGTTCGTAAGTGCGTTTCCTAACGAGGAAAGTTACAAGTAACTCGTTGTGTGGATAATCCCAAGCCAAATTTATGAGCAAAATAATCCAAACTTTGATCCTTCAGTAAAATTGCAAGCCTAAATGTACAGCAGCTGTGCACATTGTACACAGAATTTTTTTTACAAATCAAAATGTTGCTGGACCTATCGAAAAGTAGCTCCAAGACGGTCGAAGCGTTTTAATGAAAACACTCTCACATTTTCTCATTCGATAGTTCGGTTAAAACTCAGATTTCTGTAACATACAAAGCTGTAATAATGTGCATCGATCGACAACATCACGTTTCGAACTACGCACTTTAGAAAACTGCCGCAACCCGGCCACTTTCGATCCACTAGCCACAAGACAATGGCTAAGGATATTTCTTTACCTTCTTTATAATTTCCTTTTGTACCGAGTAACCCGAGATTAAGTTGAACCAAGCGTAAGCTTATTTTTCTGCCATAAACGGTGTAAACACACGGAGATTTAGCATCCAAATATAGTTTTTCCAGCGACAAAGTACAAGCTAAGTCATATTAACAAAATAAAGCCCAAGAATGTCTGTCTCTCTACTTTTTTTGGGTTGAATCCGTGATAAGAAACCTGAACTAAACAACAAAATCATTTTGGATAGCGTTGTAATACGCTCTTCGATCAACAGTCGAATGTTGTCGAATGTTAGATTCACAAAGTCGAATTTTGACACAAAAACGGGATACACATTTAAGAAAACTGTCGCTTCCGTGCAACTTGGTACAAGCTAATTTATATACCAAAACAAAGCCCAATAATTTTTCTTCCACTACTTTATAATTTCTTTTTGTACCGAGTTGCACGGAACATGCAGTAAACAAAGAGAGTAAAAATTACCCACCTTTTCAGGCATGTCTTCCACACGCAAACCAGCGATCTCAACGTCAACAACACCGAATCAGACCATGCCACTGCAATTTTTCGCCAGTTCCATGACGCTATATTCTCTAGAGAACACACTTCCGTCAAAACTTCGACCAAAATAATTTTTGATCTCTTACAGTAGCCTGCGTGGCCGGCGTTGAAAGGGGAAGGGGAAGGGGGAATTTGGGCGCGCCCAAATTCCCCCTTCCCCTTCCCCTGTCAACGCCAGCCACGCAGGCTACTCTCACAGTGGCAAGAAGTTGCAACGCTGTCACTGCCAAAAAAAGCTGCCATCGCTTCTTTCATCTCAACAACATTTCGCGGACATTGACATTGCCCGAAATAGATCACGTGTCATTTTTAGTAGAGCATGCGCAGACATTTTTCGCCGGTGAATTGCAAACCCAAACCCGTTACACTGTCACCCAAATGAGTAACCACGCATCCATGCAACAGCGCCTTTACCATAAAAAAAACTTAGACGGAAATGGTCTTCACACAGCGCAGGTCAAATTTTCGACAGTGCCGGCTAAAAATTTGACCTCGATTTTGACGTGGAAGGTTTTGAACGGCTAGCCGTCTAAATTTTCGTACGGTTAAGGTGCTGATGTGTGGTACTGTTTGACGTGGAAGGTTTTGAACGGCTAGCCGTCTAAATTTTCATACAGTTAAGGTGCTGGTGTGTGGTACTGTTTGATATGGAAGGTTTTGAACGGCTAGCCGTCTAAATTTTCATACGGTTAAGGTGCTGATGTGTGGTGCTGTTTGACGTGGAAGGTTTTGAACGGCTAGCCGTCTAAATTTTCGTACGGTTAAGGTGCTGATGTGTGGTACTGTTTGACGTGGAAGGTTTTGAACGGCTAGCCGTCTAAATTTTCGTACGGTTAAGGTGCTGATGTGTTATACTGTTTGACGTGGAAGGTTTTGAACGGCTAGCCGTCTAAATTTTCATACAGTTAAGGTGCTGATGTGTGGTACTGTTTGATATGGAAGGTTTTGAACGGCTAGCCGTCTAAATTTTCATACAGTTAAGGTGCTGATGTGTGGTACTGTTTGACGTGGAAGGTTTTGAACGGCTAGCCGTCTAAATTTTCGTACGGTTAAGGTGCTGATGTGTGATACTGTTTGACGTGGAAGGTTTTGAACGGCTAGCCGTCTAAATTTTCGTACGGTTAAGGTGCTGATGTGTGGTACTGTTTGACGTGGAAGGTTTTGAACGGCCAGCCGTCTAAATTTTCATACGGTTAAGGTGCTGATGTGTGGTACTGTTTGACGTGGAAGGTTTTGAACGGCCAGCCGTCTAAATTTTCATACGGTTAAGGTGCTGATGTGTGGTACTGTTTGACGTGGAAGGTTTTGAACGGCCAGCCGTCTAAATTTTCATACGGTTAAGGTGCTGATGTGTTATACTGTTTGACGTGGAAGGTTTTGAACGGCTAGCCGTCTAAATTTTCGTACGGTTAAGGTGCTGATGTGTGGTACTGTTTGACGTGGAAGGTTTTGAACGGCCAGCCGTCTAAATTTTCATACGGTTAAGGTGCTGATGTGTTATACTGTTTGACGTGGAAGGTTTTGAACGGCTAGCCGTCTAAATTTTCGTACGGTTAAGGTGCTGATGTGTGGTACTGTTTGACGTGGAAGGTTTTGAACGGCTAGCCGTCTAAATTTTCATACGGTTAAGGTGCTGATGTGTGGTACTGTTTGTCTCAGAACAATATCCTGGATTTTCTTCGTTGTAAACTTTAATAAACTACAGTAAGCATCTACAATAAGCTGAACTGTCCAGCCGGCCTTGGGAGGTTTATAAACTTTGTTTATGTTCAATTCAAGAGTTCACGCCAACGGATCCTTTGCCTTTTTTTTTTTCTTTAGGTTGCAGTGGGGATGAGCAGGATTTATCTGTAAAAGCCACTGCGGTTTGTTCAGTTTACGAGAAAGCTATACTTGTCAATAAACCTCTTCATAAAGGTACGCTTGAATCTTAGAAACATCAGCAATATACTCGCGAGAACAAAACTTTTTTAAAGGTATGCTTTTATGAAACAATTGTTTCCAACGTATCCTTCGTTCACTCGGACGATCGTGCTCAACCTACTTATTGTGATGTACCGTAATTTGTGCAATCAACTCCTGGAAATGTTGTTTTATTTTATGCTTCCTTCTTCTTCCAGTCTTTCCAGTGTCTTATCATGTTTATCGTTATCTAGATAACATAACATGTATTATGATCTCTTGTCTTGATTTACCAATGAAGTACCAAATCCATTTGAAGTACAGTGAATGTCAGGAGAATATTAACAGATTGTTCGGTTTTTTGCTCCTGACAGATACAAAAAACTTAGGTGTTCTGAAAATGCTCAGAGCTGAATATGAGAGACGGGCAAAGTTGAAGCCACTTTCTTGGTTAAACACTATGCAATTACCGCTTAAAAACGTCTACACGAGACTGAAGATTATCTCAAGAAGAAAAGCAGACTTCCAGGTTGAAAATGAAGAGTTGGGCATGTACGACATCTTCCAGGCCCTTGGCGAAAGCGAGGATGTCAAAATGACATTAGCAGAGGGAAGTCCAGGAACCGGTAAAACTACGTTTTGCCTCAAACTTGCTTATGACTGGGCACGTGGAGAAATGCCAACTAATTGTTCCTTTCCTAAATTCGAATTTGTACTGCTCCTTAAATGTCGAGACATAAACGGAGATCTAATGGAAGCTATCAAAGAGCAGCTTTTGCCTGAAGATATCAAGGAGGAGACCTGGACAAAGCTGTCTGACTTCATCACGGATATTGATAACCAGGAGAGAATTTTAATTATTCTCGATGGTCTGGATGAGCTTCAGAAAAGTCACGACCATGTGTTTATAAACTTCTCAACAGAAGAATTTTACCATTTTGTTTTGTCCTGGCTACATCCCGGCAGGAAACAGGAATTGAAGTACGTAAAAACTGCGAATTTGATCTTCTTCTGGAGAACAAAGGATTTACAGACGAAGATGCCTTTCAGTACGTCAGGAAGCATTTTGAAAACATCGGTCCGGAGCATACATCGAAAGGAGAAAGTCTGATAGTGGAAATTAAAGAAAACGATTTATTGAATGCACTCCGAAATAACCCGCTTAATTTAATCCTCCTGTGTGTTGTTTATGAAGACTACAAAGGAAAACTACCAACTGCCCGAACCGAACTTTACCAAGTCGTTGTCCAGTGTCTTTTGAGACGTTATTGTGCCAAACACTGCCTTGTGGCCCCAGAGGAAAACAGCGCCTTAGAGAAGCAGTTTGAAGAAAACATTCTTGCCCTTGGAGAGCTAGCTTGGCTTTGTCTACTTAGTGAACGTCACGGGTTTCGTGAAAGTGAATTAGCCGCACTTGAAATCAGATACAAAGGATTGGTAGCTCGTGACATAGGCCTTCTTTACAAGGAAGAAAGTCTGAGGAGGTTAAAGCCTCAACACGAGTACTTTTTTCTTCACAAGACCTTCCAAGAGTACCTGGCTGCCGCCTTTATTGCTCACAAACTGCGAAAACACGAATTAAATGTGTTTGAGCGATTGAGTTTTTGCGACCTGGTGTTAAAGTATCGAGAAGTGTTTCTTTTTGTCTCAGGTTTACTGGACAGAGAGGCAAGTATTCTATTTGCGCAGATTGGCGAGGAGCTGAAGAACTGGGGGGATTGGGACTGGGACAGTTGCACACAGTTAGACATAGTGAACAGTAAAGAAGACTGGTATTACGACCGTCAACAGCGAGGTGAAGCGGCGGCAAGTTTCTTCGCAGAAAGCTTCAGTGAAACTGGACGAGGTGAGCAAATGGCAGTCACTCTTTGTTCTTATATACCCTTTCCACAGCATATTGAGGTCAATCTCTCTTTGAAACCAGTCGTTGAGGGAATTAATGAGGCGAGTGGTAGTATATTCGAAGTCTTAGAATCCTGTAACAGCTTTCAAAATCTGCAAAAGCCTGTTGACGTCACCGTTCACGATTCATTTGACAATAAATGGGATTATGAGACTTTTGCAAAGTACATACAATCCTGCTCACAGCTTCAGATTCTTACCCTTTATAGCCCTGCGGTGACATCAGACCTGGCTAACGTCTTACATAGCGGCCTATCTGGAAACACGACTTTGTCAGAGTTTACACTACAAGTCTCTGGCAGTATCCCCTGTGACGCAGCTGTTGTCATCGGTGAATGGTTAGCTGCTACTAAATCTTTAAAGGAAGTAACGTTTCTTCTTAACGTGGTACAGGATGAGACTTGGGCCAGTGCTATTGAAACTGGATTGTGTGCGGACACCGCTTTTACCTCTGTGGTCCTCGAGGTTCGTGGTCCAATGAGTAACACTGCGATCCATGCTTTAGGAAGGCTTTCATCAAATGAAGCTATGACCTCATTTTCTCTGAATAATTATGGAGATTTGCAAGATTTGACAGCTGCTGTTATTAGTAGAGGAATTGCACGGCAAACTGCACTCGAGTCATTGGATGTAAGTGTTAACGGCAACCTTAGTCTCTCTGGTGCGAATGTTCTACAAAGCTGTCTTCTAGAAAATCGCTCCTTAAATAATTTAAAACTGTTTGTCCGTGGAGAGATTCCTGACAACTGGCAATCTGTTTTGGAAAATCTTCGTTTGGTAAAGGAATCAGTTAACTGTGCTTTTCATCCAGACCCTGGCGGCAGTGTTACATCTAATCAAGTGGCGCATTTTCGTCCTGCTGTGGTCGAGAATGGGTTGGAAACAAAACAGCACCTAACTGTAGTCATTTGGGGAGAGCTGAAGTGTAATGGAGCAGAAGCGTTATGTGAGGTCTTTGAGCGTGTCCCCCTGACAAGCCTGACTTTAAAAGTGCACGGAAAATTAAGTAATGGTGTTGCTGATATTATTGCAAGATATGTCAGACAACAAAATACACTCTCCTCCCTGGCAATCGATACTTGGAACGAGCCGGACCAAAGGACAGGAACTTTACTTCAGGGTCTATCAAATGACAACGTAACTGTTCAAGTGAAATTGCATGAGGTTAATTTAAATCCCAATGAATCGTTCAGAATTCCTGATCTCTTAATTGATAGTCCGGCATCTTTGACACCAGTTTTCTCTGAAGTCAAGAAAACTAGAAAGGAGAAGATCGCCCTTAGAATCGTTAACGACGGTGAAGTAACTAAGGACTGGCCACATCTTTTAGGTGATGCTTTGGCAGAAAACATGACTCTAACTGCGCTTGATCTTACAGTCAACAACTACATAGAGAACAAAGAGTTGGGGAGAGAACTGGGGATTAGTTTGTTGCGTAGCTGTTCACTGACAGTTTTAAATCTGGCAATCATCAATTACAGTAACATTGAAGATGGCTGGGAATGCACACTGGTCAACAGCTTGGCTAGAATGGCTTCATTAACCACACTCAGTCTTGCAATCGACGATCGTGGCGGGGAGAGGAAATGTGAAAGTGAAAATGACGATTTGATCGCATTGAAGTCCTTGACTACACTTTCCGTTGTTATGAATGGTAGCAATTTAGATGAATTCTGGAGCAACTTTCTTAGAAAATGTTTAGAAGGGAACGCCTCACTGAAAAAACTCTGTCTTGTAGCTAACAATGTTGAGTCCGATATCGATTTCTTAGAAGATACAATTGGAATGCCAGAGTATTGGGGAGAAGGTCTCGCTGATGGTCTGGCAAGAACGACATCATTAAATGATTTAGCCTTAACAATTAACAACATTAATTCTACTGATTACTACTGGGCAACCAGTGTCTGTAATGGACTGTCTAATAATGAGTCGGTGACTAATCTCGCTGTGACAGTCAGTGATTACCATTCCATGAGCGCTGGGGAGTACGCACACTTTCTGAAAATGGGTTTAACGACAAACAAGTCATTAACCACACTCACTCTGACAGTAAATGACTACAGTGAATTTGGATGGTATAAAAGCTGGTCCCGTTGGCCTCCGCTGATGTATTTTCTAGGCTTCAGTTTGGTAGAAATCACATCATTGACTGAACTTAATCTGAACCTCAACATTGGCAGTGAAGTCAGTGAAGACTGGTTAACCGATATTTTCGACACTTTCGTGGAAAGTTCCTCCTTGACAACACTGAGATTGAACGTTAACAACCAATGCAATACAGGGGAAAGTCGTTTGTATGACTTTAGCAACCTTTTGCTGAAAAGCGAATCGCTATCTTCATTTGAACTCAGCGTAACTTTTTATGGGGAGTAAAGTAAGTAGATCAAAACTGTCATGAATTTTCTGAGGTTTACCGACACATGAAGTAGACTTCTGAGGACAAAGACACGTGCACAGTTCATTATTTTGTTTAAACGTTTTTGCGTCCCAGTGGATTTATATTGGCATAACAAGAAAATACTGACGTCACAATTGTTTTAGCTCTAAATCCGCGTTTCGTATCTCTAATGCCTAGGCCAAACGTCGAACTTTTGATGAGACTAACCAGACTTGGTGAGTTGAGTTCATTAAAAGTTCGACGTGTGGCTCAGTTACGTTAGGCTGAATGAGTTTGGATCGTCCAACACGTTCTATTCGTCTGCTTCAAACGGATAAAATTTGTATGATAATGTATAATGTATATTTAGCTTCTTTCAAGAGAAGATTTATTCGTGTCGCTTTGAATGAGCCTGGCGCTGGCAAAGAACAAATTTTTGCCTATCAACAGCTTGAACTTTCTCCTGTTTAGAAATGCTCTGGTTAAGTGAGGCCAAGGTCAATACAATACGGTTTGCCAGTAGTCTAAGAGTTTATTTAATAGTTTTCGATATTTTACAATATCAGCACTTAATTATTTCAATGAAGTTTGTGTTATAATTGCCAATTTGTAAGAAACAAATTATAGTTTAGTTTCTAGTTTTACCCAAAGTGTATTTCACCGTGTAAAACAAAGAGAGGATGCATACTTCATCTTTAACTTAGTTCAGTCAGCGTAAGTCAAGAGCGTTTTTGTTGGGAATCGACTTCATCTCGTCGCTGGATGCAATGAACGTTTCATACAAACAAGCATAAGCGAACAGTTTAAAGTACATTTGACATTAAATGCGCCAAGTTTTGTCATTCAGAATTGTATAGTTACATATAAATAAAATTTCATGTAGTTACGCAGAAACCCTTGTAGTTTGCTGGCTGAAATTGTTTTATATATTCTCGATAGCGATCTGGAACTATTTTGCAAGTGAAAGCGGATTCTCCTGCTCATCCCGCCTAACCCCAGCTTTAACTTCGATACTAGCTCCCGGGGTACTAGCTGTGGTCTCAGAACACCTACCTTAGTACGATAGTAGAAGGTTTTTTCTCAACGTGGCTTCTTGTAGCAGTTAGCCTCTTACGGGTCGTAAACTTCCGTGAGTGCCTTGAAAGTGTTGGAAAAAAAAAACAGCCGAAATTCGTTACATGCCTATTCACTAGTTAGGGCTGTATGAGAGAGAGGGGAGAGGCGTTCTGATCACTCATTTTAATGTTTATTAATGTATTTTGTTTCCTCGTTATGGGAACTGCATTCCTTCTCTCAAATCTGAGTGAAGTCAGTTGTTGTCTAGGCAGAAGTTTGGTCAAGTTTATGTGTTCTTTTTTAAATACAACTATTGTTTTCTCAGTTGAGAGTCATTTGTTAGCAAATCAATGTGGTCAGTGACCCTTACCAAATTTGCACCAGCCCTTCCCACTCCATAACGCTATTGTCCATTTCAATGATTAACGTACCTTACAAAAATGCCATTGAATGTTTGCAGGATTTTGTCCTTAAAATGTAAAAGAACGTCCATGCCATAATAATATTGTGTTTATCATGAGTGATGAGAGAATGTCCCCAGAGTAATAAGTAGTGACCCTCCCCATATTTGCAGCTGCTCTCCCTACCCTCTTAGGGTCTGTTTACATGGAGGTGCAGTGGGGGACCCCAGGTAGGTGAGGTAACCCGCTTAGGTGGGGTAACCCACCTGTCCGTATAATCTCTCATTTTAATTTGATCACGTTTACATGATAGGTGCGGTGACCCACCATGGCAGGTAGCCCTGTCTGCCAGACCGGGTAACCCTCTCAGCCGCG